TTCTCTTGCCCCAGCTTCTTTTGTTCTTGCTGCCTTTTTCCAAAGCTGTGAGGCAGCTCTGCCCCTTCCCATTTTTAATATTTGGGATTGAGCGGTTCTGGGTGCCATCTCGTCAGACGAGAAGGGGACTGGTCACACGAAAACCTGATCAGAGGCTCACCTGACCTCCCCCTCTTGGGGCCTTTGGTCAGAGCAGCTCTGGAAAATTGCTAACTGCTCCTTCCTCAACGTGGCAGTGTAGTTGATTGGTTTTTTTTAATAGACTTTATTTTTTAGAGCAGTTTTAGGTTCCCAGCAAAATTGAGTGGAAGGTACAGAGAGTTCCCATGTACTCCTGCCCCCACACCCACACAGCTTCCCCCTCTATCGACGGAGTTGATTTTTATTCATTTATTTATTATGCAGAACCCCACAGTTGCCTCACGGGCCTCCATAAGAGCCTTTTGCATTCCCATCTACTCCCACCCCCTGCCTCACATACCCCACCCAGTCCTTTCTAGGCTCTTAAAGATATGTTTTTGAGTTGAATTGCATTCCCAAAGTCATAGCTACAAATCGACATCCTCCCAGAGTTGAGAGCAAGTGTGACTCTGACTGGGTTCAAATGCCTCTTTATCAATTTAATTCTCTGTTGCCCTCCCTCCTCACCAGCGTGGATGCAACTAGAGAGACAAATCGCCTGGGAAGACTGATCAATCACAGCAAATGTGGGAACTGCCAAACCAAACTGCACGACATCGATGGCGTGCCTCACCTCATCCTCATCGCCTCCCGTGACATCGAGGCCGGGGAGGAGCTCCTGTACGACTACGGGGACCGCAGCAGGGCGTCCATCGAGGCCTACCCCTGGCTGAAGCATTAACCTACCGCCCCCCTTCAATGGACAAAGTGCCCTCAAAGGGAATTGATTTTTTTTTTTACACACTTAATCTTAGCAGATGACTTCAGATGTTTTTAAAAAGTATATTAAGATGCCTTTTCACTGTAGTATTTAAATATCTGTTACAGGTTTCCAAGGTGGACTTGAACAGATGGCCTTATATTACCAAAACTTTTATATTCTAGTTGTTTTGTACCTTTTTTGCATACAAGTTGAACGTTTGTGCTTCCCGTGCATGCAGTCAAAGACTCAGCACAGGTTTTAGAGGAAAGAGTCGAACATGAACTAGGAAGCTGGGTGATGCTCCTGCCTCCAGCTGCAGAGCCAGGACTCTCTTCCCCACACCCCCAACGTCCCTGTGCTGGCGGGTGCGAGGAAGACGCTGCCTCCCAACGCCCTGGACGGGATGTTCCCAAGCTCTTGTTTTCCTGACGTCTCGACAGGCGCACATTGAAGTGTATGAATATTTTTTAAAAAGGTTTCGCAGTAAGCTAGTCTTCCCCTCTGCTTTCTCGAAAGCTTACTGACCCGGTGGCCCGTGAGCACGGGCCAGGCCTCCACTTAATCTTCCACGGGCTGCCGCTTTGCTGGGCACCTCGAAGCATCAGGGCGGGTAATCAAGTAGACGTGGGCAGGGAAAAGCATTGCTTACCGAGCCCTGCCGGGGCAGGGTTTCCTGAAACTGGGTTAATTCTTTATAGAAATGTGAACACTGAATTTATTTTAAAAAAACAATAAAAATCAAAAAACAAAAAAGACAAAAAAAAAAGAAAAACCACAGAAAACAACTTACATGTACATAGGTCTTGAAGTGAGTGAAGTGGCTGCATTTTTTTTTTTTGGTTTTTTGGTTTTGTAGAAGCGATTTGAGATGGTACTCTATTCTAATCAAAAATAAAGTTTTGTAGTGGGACCAGAAATTACTTACCCCATCCCCCTACCCCACCGCGACCCCGATTCTGCGGGGTGGAAAGTTCCAGACCTGCTGTCAAGGCTGGCTGTCAGATCACCTGGTGTCCTTCCCATGAAGATTCAGCCATGAGCCGAAGGGTGAGCCTAGGAGCCCTGAAATGCGGGGCCCCCAGTCTAGCCGCTGGTGCGCAGGGGAGTGGGCAGGCCCAGCAGCCCCAGGATCCAGGGTAAGGCTGAAGTTTTCACCTTGACTGATGGCAGGAGGAGTAGGTAGCTTCCTCCTCCCTCCAAAAGGGGGACCAATTCTCACTCTCTTAACCTGTAGTCCAGGGGGCCTGACCTGGGTCTGCAGCCATGACCCAGGGTCTCCACCCACCTGGTCCCAGGTAAATGTGAATGGAGACAGGTATGAGAGCCTGTCCTCAATCTTGATGCCCCCCAGTCCCCACCCCCACCCACCCTCAGCCTCATGACGGTGCTACCTAAGAAAGTCTTCCCCCCACCGCATACTTGCCTGGTCAGTGGTCAGCGAATTGGAGGAGGATCCGATGGAAGTGTGTAAATGTGAGATAAAATGTCTTGGTTGTACCTGTTTGTGGCTTAGCTTTGTATTTAAAAAAAAGGAAATAAACTTGAAAATTATTTGTCATCATAAAAATGAAACAAATTAAAATATTTATTGCCAGGCGAGGCCACCTGTGTGTTTTTCTGTTTTTTACAAGGCAGAGGTGGAGAAGAGTAGGGTTGGATTTTGAAAAAGGGTCACATACTAGGATGAGTCTGAAGTTTTAAGTAATGTCCTCCAAGGGGACAGTTTCTTCATTTGTATAATGAGGGTCATCGGGTGCTTGTGAAGATTAGAAGTTAATGTGTGTTGGCCCCTTAGAACAATGCCTGGTACATAATCATAAATTTTAGCTGCCATAATTGTTGCTGTTTCTAATTTACTAGACTTGATTCTGGGTAGGTGTCTCAGAATCATCAACGGCATCTCTCTTGTGCTGGAAGTCCCTCCTGCCAGCCCAGATCTCTGTCTCAACCGCATAGCCCAGCACCTGCCCTTGAGAGGCTGTTGGTTCCCTCAGCCCCAGGCACTGGGCACTGAGGCAGATTGGGACTGGGTAGAGTCCTTGGTTTAGGGGCAAAAGATGAGTTCCAGCACCAGGTTGAAGTGTTTGTCAGCTGTGTCACCTTAGACAAATCACTTACCATCTCTGAAACTTGTCCATCAAATGGGAAGAGTCCCTACCCACCTGCCTTGCAGGGTGTCCTGAGGATTCAGTCATTTATTTTTACATCTCACCTTGGAGGGGACAGTGTGGCCAAGTGCTCAGCCCTGGAACAGAAACTCTGGTTCCAGCACTTAGCAGTTGTGTAACCTCGGGCAGGTTACCCAACCTCCCTGTGCGCCACTTTCTCCTATAACATGGAGACACTATTGGTGCTGGTGTTGGCGTGACTGTGAGGACTGAATGAATTAATACATAAAGAGCACGTGGAGTAGTGCCTTGCACGTAGATAATCCTCCGTAATCAACGTTAGCTATTATTAGAATTAAAAATTGGGATGGTTTCTACCATTCACTGTTTACAAGTGCCCAGGACAGATAGATAACAAGCACTTCCAAGCTCTGACATTTAGTTGCTGTATCTATTTATTCGTTTTTTAAAGATGATTGCTACAGCAACCACGTCTGCTGCCTCCTGAAACCTGGCTGGAAAACCTGCTTCTGAGCCTGTTCCTGCCCGTGCTGGCTTGTAGATGGAAGCCTGTGGTGTGGGGGCAGCTGTGGCTCTGTTATCTGTGGCCACACCAGGCCCTGGCTCCTGGAGAAGTGCTCCCAGGACTTACCTTCCAGAATGCCCACGCCCCAGGGTCTGTGGATCTGAAGTCGGGATGCACAGATTTGATTCCCAAGTCGGCGCTCACCTCCGAGGTGCAGAAACTCCACCTCCACACCCCCACCCATGCGGGTTTAGGAACCAAGAGCCCCTGATCTAAGACTATGGAGATGACATTCAGGATTAAACTCTTAAATGTTGCCGACTTTCCTAGGGAGGCAGAGTGGCTGAAGCCTTGGTTGTGGAGTTTGCACCTGAGTTCAAGTCCCACTTCTTCCACTTTTGTTTTTTTGGTGAAGAAGGTTGGCCCCGAGCTAACATCTACTGCCAATCTTCTTTTTGCTTGAGGAAGATTGGCCCTGAGCTAACAGCTGTGCCAATCCTCCTCTATTTTGTATATGGGTCACTGCCACAGCATGGCTTGACGAGTGGTGTAGGTCCACACCTGGGATCCAAACCCACGAACCTGGGCCACCAAAGTGGAGTGCACTGAACTTAACCACTATGCCACTTGGCTGGCCCCGGCTTCTTCCACTTTTGAGCTGGGACCTTGGACAAGTCCCTTAGCCCCATCATGCTGTAACCTGCTCAGGTATACCACGGGAATAATAATAATACCCATCCCATAGGGGCACGGTGAGAGAATATGTGTAAGGTACTTAAAATGGTGTAGGCAAGGCATGCAATAAATTGCGTTATTAATATTAATTGCACTTTTTGGAGAATCGGGGTGCACAGACCTTCCCAGATAAGATCCCAGGCCTTAGAATCAGGCCTGCCTTTGTATCCTGGGCAGCCACTTCCTAGTTACATGACCTCGTGTGAGGTAGTTTAACGTTTTGGAATCTTGGTTTCCAAATCTGTAAACTGGGGGATTAGTACCAGTCCCCATCTCCCTGAGTTGTTAGAGGAATAAATGAGATAATCCGTGCAGCAGGCGAAACACGCTCAGTAAACCAGTGCTATTTACTAAGAAGACAGGCTCGCAGGATGTGTTCAGCAGGCTCATTAGTTTCTTTGCAAAGTGCAGCCATCTGCTGTCTATATACTGCATTTCATTGATTCCTAAATGCACTTTTTTTTTCACATTTTAACATCTCTGAAATCAGGATGAGCCTTAAAATCAATAGCGTCTTAATGTTATAATTTGCATTTTTTCTCTCACAGCAACACACAAAATAATAGTCATTCACTTAGATTTGACGAACTATATATGCACCATACACACACCACCATAGCTATGTATATGTATGTACACACACATATATATATACACAGTTTACAGATTTGGAAACCAAGACTCCGAAAGGTTGAAGTGCCTTACACAAGGTCACATAACTCTAAGAGACCACTCTAAAACACTTACAGAAAGTATAAAAGTCATTTTACTTTAATATAAAATCATGTAAAGAAAGTCATGTTAGCAAAATCAAATAGTCACTAAATATCAGTGAAATCGTCACTGGAAAGTCAATACCACATTTTCCTGTGTTCTCTTCTCCCCTCTCCCTTTGGGCTGATGTATTTGGCTGCCACACGGTAAAGACCAGGGTCATCTGTGGGACCAGAGGAGCAGAGCACACATCCGCACGCTGGAGGCCCCTGCGAGGCTGAAGTGGGCCAGGAGGGGGGCCCCGTTGCACTTCCCTTATGCCGGCTTGACTTCTTTGTGCCGCTTCACCTGCCCCGGCCAGGCCTTCGCGGGTGTCCAGTTCTGCAGCCGGGGAGGAAACGGTCACGAGAGAACCTCACCTCTTCCTCTCAGACGGCTTTGAGGGGAAACAAAAGAGCAAGTACAGTGTGTATGCGTGGCACGAAGAGATGATTCTGGAAGTCTTGGTGGGTTGTCTTCTCGAGTCTGAGAACAGCTGCCTTAGTCGTGGCCTTCAATCTATGTCTGCTTCCCTGATCGGAAAGAGAACCTGGGTGGAGAGAGAGAGTGGGGTCAGAGGGAGCAGGGAGAAGGGAGCAACGGGACAGAAGCCCCTGCAACATCTATCAGCAGCTCTTGCAGGCCACCGACTCATAAAATGACTCAGGGTTCCTTGTGGGACAGGCACTGACAGGGGCTTTCCATCTATCAGCTCATTTCACACTCCTCACAACTTAAGGAGGTAAGTGCAACCAATGTCTCTGTTTTATAGATGAGCAAACTGAGGTTCGTGAGGTTAAGTAACAGGTCCAAGGACACATAGTCAGTTGTGGAACCAGGAGTTGGACCCAGGGCCCACTTAACCACTGTGCTATACCCACAGATGGAGTCTGACACCATTTAAAAAAAATTTTAGGTGTTTTTATTGCAGAGGAAGTGATAACTTCTCAATATTACCTACAATTATAAAACAGATCATGGGCCGGCCCCGTGGCTTGGCGGTTAAGTGCGCGCGCTTCGCTGCTGGCGGCCCAGGTTCGGATCCTGGGCACGCACGGAGGCACCGCTTCTCCAGCCATGCTGAGGCCGCATCCCACATACAGCAACTAGAAGGATGTGCAGCTATGACATACAACTATCTACTGGGGCTTTGGGGGAAAAAATAAATAAATCAAAAAATGTTTAAAAAAAAAAAGAATAAAACAGATCTTTGCAATGAATAAAGATTAACATGTAAGTTCTTGGATAAAACATATAAACATATCCCCTGAAACATGAACACCAAACTTTCACCAAACTGTTTTTCCCCCTCTAGGCAAAGTTTTGTAAAGGAAGAATGTTTTCTGGGGTTGATTACAAAGTACAATCTCAATGCTATTTCCAGTTATGAGAAAGATGCAAAGATGGCCAGTGGGCTGTCAGTGATGGGAATATGGACTCTTGCTTCTCTCAAAGACAAACCCCCTGAGCACCACTAGCAGCTCTGCCAGCAATGGGAGGGGCGAGCCCTTGACTAGTGTTTGGACACAGGCGTTACTGCTCAGCAATCCTACCCTGAAGTCACACACTCTCCCCCCACCCTGCAGTTCCCTGTCTCAGGAAGTGACATCATCCCCCACCCCATCATTCAAGCCAGGAACCTCAGAGCTGTTCTTAACTCCTCCCTCCCCCATCTGCTTATTTTAGTCATCATGCCCCAAATATGTTCCTACCCACCACTGCTCATCTCCTCCGCTGCCACTCCCCCAGTCTAAGCCACCACAATGAGCACAAGAGCCTCCCCCTCACCCCCTGCCATCCAGTCAGCAGCAGCAGAATGACCATGGCACTAGGCGGAGCTGACTGAGTCATTCCTCAGCTTAAACCCTTCCACGGCTCCCCACTGTCCTCAGGATAAAGACAAAAATCCTTCTTAGCAGGACCTACTTCTTCAGAAAGTCATTCATTCATTCATTCATTCATTCCATTAGCTCAGTAAGCTTTTCTGACCATGAAACTGTGGCCTCACGCTCTTTAAACACGTGTCCTCAAGCTGGGTCGTGCACAGAATAAACATTTTATTTTTTCCGTATCAGGCTCAAACTCCAATTCAGTGACCCAGAGAACTCCCTTCGAAGAGGCAGAGAGAAACCAGCAGTTTGGATACTCAGCCAAAGCAAGTCCTAAATAAACACCCTTAGGCCCGACACCTGGTGTAGGGTGTGACATCTTTCCTTCATTATCTTACCTTCCTTGGGGAAGAAACGCGCCCCTTGGCCCAGCTGTGACTCTGTCACCCCAGCCTTCTCCACAAAGCAGCCAGAGTGAGCTTTATGTGTAAGTACAGTCACATCACTCCCCGGCTTAAAACCCTCCAGTGTCTTCCCAAGGCACGTAGACTGATGAAACTTCCCAAGTCCTCACTGGGACCCACGCCGCCCGAGCGATTCGACCCACGCCACCTCTCCGACCTCACCTCCATTCTCTGCCGCTCCAGCCATCCTGAGCTCTGTTCCACAAGCTCTCTCCAGCCTCAGGCCTTCACACCCACCATTCCCTCTGCTAGGAATGCTCTTCCCTCAGGTCTTTACAGTCTTTCAGGGTTCAGCTTGGATGCTGCCTCCTCACAGAAGCCTTCCAGGACTCCCCAAATCTAAGGGAGTCCCCTATCAACCTCCTTCTTGGTGCCCTATTTAGCGGTCTTCATAGCACGCATGGCTATCTGAAACTGTCCTGTTAGTACATTTCCTTACCGGTGCGCTCTCTGACTCCCCCTGCTGGAACATAAGCACCACGAGAACAGACTTTGTCTTCTTCACTGCATCCCAGCACTTAGAAGGGCGCCTGGCACATGGTGGGCCCTCAATAAATATTTGTTGAAGGAAGGAATGAATTTGGCATCAGGCGGTCTTGTCTGACAAAGCAGTTTTCAAGCAGCCATTCCTTAAAGTCTGGGAATCCTTAACTAAATTAAGCAGATGCCTACGCTGTGGGCTGTCTGCCCCTACAGAACCATCTCCTCCCTTCTCTACCCTGCCCTCTCCTCCCAGAGGCTGACCTCTATGGATGATAGCAACAAGCTCCCTTGTCCTCTAGCTTTGGGCTGGGCTCAGCCAATGAGAGGCAGCAGCAGGAGCTGGGCAGGTGGGAGGAGAGAGAGGTGGGGTATTTATTCCCGGCTCCCTCCCTGCCAGGTCTGTCTTATCAGTTGCTGTGCTCCTCTTCTGAAGGCCACACTCTCGTCTGACCCTCCTCCTTCCACTCCGCCCCTGCCTCTCCTCACAGTTCCCCCGCTCTGCCCCTCTGTTGCTGCTCTGGTCTGCTCAGGGCAGCTTTTCCATCCCTTCCTGGTTCCTTTAACCCTGCTCACACATCTGTAAGATGTCCCTTCTTTAAGTCTTTTCAGTCATTCCCTTTGAGTGTGCCACTTGTTTCTAGCCAGGACCCTGACAGTGACCCTGGGACCCTGCAATTTCACTCCTGGGTATATACCCCTGGGAGATTCACACACAGGTCCATGAGAGGACATGACTAAGCATGGAGATATTCATTGCAGCCCTGTGTACCTCGGGGGACTGCTGAAGGTGACCTGGGATCCCAACACTGGGAGAGGGAGCACTATGTGGGGTTAGAGGCAACAAGCTGGATGTCTACACTGCTATATGGATAGATTTTTAAAAACTGCTTAATGTCCATCAACAGATGACTGGATAAACAGAATGTGGTATACACATACAATGGAATATGATTCAGCCTTAAAAAGGAAGGAAATTCTGACACCTGCTACAACATGGATGAAACTTGAGGACAGTATGCTAAGTGAAATAAGCCAGTCACAAAAAGACAGATACCGTATGATTCCACTTATATGAGGTCCCTAGAGTAGTTAAATTCATAGAGACAGAAAGCAGAATGGTGGGTGCCAGGGGCTGGGGGAGGGGGATGGGGAGTTAGTGTTTAATGAGCACAGAGTTTCAGAACAGGATGACAAAAAAGTTGTTGAAATGGATAATGGTGACAGTTGCACAACACTGTGAATGTACTTACTGCCAGTGAATTGTACACTTAAAAATAGTTAAAATGGTAAATTTTATGCTATGTATATTTTATCATGATTTTAAAAAAACTAAGAAAAAAAAAATTCTAACAGTTCTCAAAGCCTAGGGGATCTTACCACGTATCGGCTGAAGCTATGCTGTCCAATATGGTGGCCACTGGCTACTCATGGCTTTTGAGCCTCTGAAACATGGCTAGTCTTAACTGAAATGTGCTGTGAGTGTAAAATATACACCAGATTTTGAGGGTTTCCAATAAAAAAAGGTTGTAAGATATCTCATTAATGTTTTATAGAGATCACATAACATGTGGAAATAATATGTTGGATATGTTGGGTTAATGAAATATATTATCAAAATAAAAAAAGGGTGCCTAATAAAAAAGAAAAAAACAACAGTGCTTAGTGAAAAAAAACCGACACTAGGAAACAGAATAAAGTGTTAAACAAAACATCAGTTACGTATTGAAAATACATCCTCATGAAACAACATATACTTTTTAGAACATGTTCAATACCCCATTAGGATGGATGGCAGGAGGGGAGCTGGGAAGTAGGATGGGGATGGGGATGGGGATGGGGATTAACAGGGAATAAACAAATCCAAGAGGCAAGCAGTCTGGTGCTGACAGTGAAGACTGTGTGCCAAGACCTGAGAATTATTACCTCAACCTTCTGTTCCCAAGGGCCAAAAAAAAGAAAAAGAAAAATTTCCTCCTCTTTCTTGAAATAAAGGCAAGAATGGAGGACAACCTAGAATCTCTGATCCCTCAAAAATATCTCCCCGTGGAATGGGAGCCCACGGAATCCTTGTAAAACAAGTCATTGCTGTATCCCTAGCACCCAGCACTCCTGGCACATGATATAGAGGGTTTGTTGACTGAATGAATGGAAGCAAGCAAGGTCCCCTCAGCCTCTATCAAGCAGTCCTCCCCAGAAGCGGGATTAATGGAGTGAGAGCAGAGGTGGGAGCCTGGCAGCTGAGGACCTAATACAGCCTGCAACGGTGCTTCATTTGGACCAAACAGTCTTTATTTTTTAACTTAAATTATTTGCCAGCATTTAGAAATCAGACTCCATGAACAAATCTGGTTTCTTGGCTTCTCTCAGGAATCAGAAGCTCTGGCACATGTCATCCCTTATCCAGACAGAACTGAGGGACAAATGGCCCCCTACCCCACCCCACACCCCCATCACTCATCCACATTAAGTGCCTGGCCTCTGTAGGCATTTGAGTTTGAGATCCCTGACCGAGGCTGTTTCTCAGTTTCCAAGAGACCAGGGGCTGGTAAACTGTCACCAGGCCAGACACTGTCAGAGCAACCAAGGTAAACAGGCTACTTGCCTCAGTGTGGGGTGGAGGAAAGGCGCGCCTGGCGACTGAGAAGGCACATCTCAGTGTGGTGGTCCAAGAGTTCCCCACATCGGAGTTGCCTAGGGAATTTATTAAAAATCCAGACTTCTGGGCCTCATCCTAGAACCACTGACAAGATTCCCAAGAATCTGAATTTTAAACAGGCATCCCACACACTATGGTTTGAGGTACAGCGCCCGCAGAAATGGGGGATTAACAATAGTGCACAAACAGGAGAGGGCTGTTCAAAGGAAACTGCATGACGTGTCCCAGCATCGGGAGACACAGCATCCTCCAAAGTTGGAGGTAGGAGAGGCAATGAATTAGCCCTCTTAAACTCCAATAATTATTGTTATTATGTTTTTCTTGTTGTAATACTATTATTATTTTTTGGTTATTGTTATTATATCAGAGGGAGGCAGTAGAGTGTAGAATCTGGATTTCCTTGGGTTTAAATCCTGACTTCACTATTTACTACCTGTGTGACCTCAGGCAAATTACTTTACCTCTCAGTATCTATCTCTCTACCCGTAACACGAGGATAATATTAGTTCCCACCTCATAGGGTTGTTGTGATGAGCCAATGAATTAACAGGTCTCTAGTGCTTAGACGACTGCCTGGTAGATATTGTAACATACCGACATCAAGTTTTCACATCAGCTGCAGCACCACCAGGAGAGCAGGACCTCCCCGTCCTGGGTAGCTGGCCAGCCTCCTCTCACCCCGACTCCTTCTTTTAGCAATTATTTAGTGGCAACAGGGGCCAGTGAGGTGACTTACAGCTTCCTTATGATTGTCTTCTCTTCCTTGTCACTGCTGGCGTTGCTGGTCCTGGCAACCAGAACATCTTTTTCTCTCCTTCCTGGGCCTTCTCTTGGTGGAATCAGGCCACTGGAAAAAGGAGACAAATAAATGGGTTGTTTTATTGCAGATCTCTTACCTGTGCAGTTCTGAAAGTGAAGGGTCTTAATAATTATTATTATATTAATAATAATATCATTGAAAGCTCTAGAGTCAGACAGATTTTGACTCAGATAATGAGAATCTTCCCTCCACCTTTCCAATGTGGATACCTCTTATTTCTTTCTCTTTTCTAATTGCATTGGCTAGTATTTCAAGTTTCTCCACTTTCTAGGAATATGATTATGTATAAATTCTCTAATTTAAGCCTTGATTTCCTAATCAGTAAAATGAGGATAATAAGAGTAACTACCTCCTAGGATTGACGGATTAAGTGAGATAATACATGGCACCTGACATTCATTCATTCAACAAATATTTATTAAGCCACAAACTGTGCCAGGGTACTATAGATAGAGCAATGAACAAAACAGACAAAATATCTTCTCTCATGCAATTTATATTCCAGTGGGGAAGGAACCAGTCAATAAACAAATAAATAAGTAAAAGAAATATATATATATATACTGTAAGTCCGATGGTGGTGATAAGAGCTAGATTGTTATTGATTGATAAGATATTGAGGTCAGGTGAAACAAAGAGGGCCAGAGTATTTCCCTGGATTTGATGTACAGAAGCTGGAGAAAGCTGTTCTTTCACTTGCTGAACTGGGACTGCCAGCAGCCACGTCTCCTGAGATTCAGAAAGGCATGTCTGCAACAAAAGATAACAAGGCCAACAAAGAGAAGCAGAGGGAAAGAACCGTGAGGCCTTAGTTACAGTTTTTTCTTTATTTCTGAGCAATTCTAGGATCCTTCTCAGCTATGTGAGCCAATAAAACCCCCTTTTGTGCTTAAGATAGTTTGAATTGGATTTGTCACTTGCAACCAAAAGAAGCCTGACCACAAGGAAGCATTTCAATGTACAACCCAGTAAACTCGTTAGATCCACTCGGGTCTTTTGTTGTGGTGCCTACTGGTAAATTTATGCCCGTGGCGTATCCCCCTTGCTACGGACTGAACTGTGTTCCCCCAGAATTCATATGTGGAAACCTAAACCCCAATGTGATGGTATTTGGAAATGGGACTTTGGGAGATGATTAGGTTTAGATGAGGTCACGAGGATGGGGCCCTCATGATGGGATTAATGCCCTTGTAAGAAGAGACACCAGAAGGCTTGCTCTCTCCCCAAATACTCAAGGACACAGCAAGAAGGTGGCCATCTACAAGCCAGGAATAGCCAGAACCAACCATGCTGGGACCTTGATCTTGAACTTCTAGCTTCCAGAACTGTGAGAAAAGAAATTTCTACTGTTTAAGCCACTCAGTCTACGGTATTTTGTTATGGTAGCCTGAGCTGACTGAGACACTCCTTTAAGGTATGAGTGTCAGAGAGTAGAATTCACCCTTCTCTCTCCTTCTTTGCAAAAGAGTTTTGCAAAGAATGGGCTCTTATTATTTAATATTATTATTTATATTTTTATTATATATATTTATTACAATGTTCATATTATTTAATAAGAAGCATCATCTAAAAATTCCCCTTTTCCATTACCTATTGTTACATAACACTCTAAAACTTAGTGCTTTAAAACAATGACGATTTATGATTTCTCAGGATGACTCTATTTCTTATGGTTGTCTTGGTGGTTCTCCTGCTGGTCTAGTCTGGGGTCCTCAGATGGCTGCATTCAGTTGATGGGCCAGCTCGGGGCTGAGTAAGCTGGGGCTGTCAGCTGGGGCACCTCAGTTCTCCTTCACGTGACCTCTCCATGTGACTATCTTGAGCTTCCTCACAGCATGGTGTCTTAAGCATTCCAAGAGCAGCATTCTGAGAGCACAAAAATGGGAGCCTCAAGGCTACTTAGAGCCCTAACCTAGGAAGCCAAACAGCAGCCCTTCCACCACATTCCACTGGTCAAAGCAGTTCAGAGAGCCATCCCAGATTTAAGGAGAGGGAAAACAGACTCTACCTTGATGAGAACAGAGTGGACAAGTCTCATTGCAAAAGGCATGCAGGATGGGAAAAATTGTTGTGGCCATCTTTGGAAACAGCCTGCCACATCTGCCGTCAGTTACAAACTATCATTAGTATGAGCTCGGGCCTCCAAATTGATGCAGTTGCTAAGAGAACACCTCAGTTGACATGCTGGTTTCTCCAGAATATATGACACAAATGACTAAACAGGATCCTGCTGTCTACTGGCCTGAACCAGACAGGAAGTGTGCATCTGTTGCTCTCTGGGAATTCAAAAAGGGAAATAAAGCGTGTTGCTTTATTCACTAATAAGCTGCCCATGGCAATGGCGGTTTAGCAGTTCCTGTTTGTAACTACTTGTTTCTGAAGTGCTTATTAAATGAGACGAAGACAGGTCTTTTCAGTAACATGGTTCCAACCTCAGCAGAAGAAAGAGTTAAATTCCTGCTGTCAGAACTCAGCCCTTTTGGATTTGGTTTCTAGAACATTTTTACTTTAATGCTGCTCTCTTAATGATGCTACATAGAAAGAACAATATCACTTGGGCTCTGTTTTATTTTGTTTTGAATTAGGGTATGTCCTTACTTTCAAACTTTCAGAGTCCAAACGTGGCATGATAATTAAAAGCACAGGCTCTGATGTCTGGCTGTCTGAGGTCATGTCTCACAGTTGCCACCACCAACCGTGGACTTCAAGCAGGTACCTGACCTCTTTGAACCATAGATCTTCTTGGGGATAACGTTACCTTACCTCACAGGCTTGCTGGGAACACTAATTGAAATGACGCTGGGAGCCGGCCCCATGGCTTAGTGGTTAAGTGCGCGTGCTCCACTACTGGAGGCCCAGGTTCGGATCCCGGGTGTGCACCGACGCACCGCTTCTCCGGCCATGCTGAGGCCGCGTCCCACATACAGCAACTAGAAGGGTGTGCAACTATGACAAACAACTATCTACTGCGGCTTTGGGGTAAAAAAAAGGAGGAGGATTGGCAATAGATGTTAGCTCAGAGCCGGTCTTCCTCAGCAAAAAGAGGAAGATTAGCTTGGATGTTAGCTCAGGGCTGACCTTCCTCACAAAAAAAAAAAAAAAAAGAAATGATGCTGGCATAGTAGATAGTAGATTGCCTGGCATGTGGTAAGCATTGATAAATATTAGCTGGCACTGTGTTTTTATTCTCTTGGTCTTTCCTTCTTCTGCCTTTAAGGAAACCTGATTTGTTAAACTCAGTGTTTCCCAGAATTATTTGACCATAGAGCCCCCTTTTCCAGAAATACCTATATGAAAGAAACATTTTGGGAAACAGTGGCACAGACAGACACAGCAGAGTCCAAACTCGATAAATTAACAGCTTCCTTACTTCCTCTCTTGCTTGTCCTACAATCCCTTCTCTATACAGTATTATTGTCATCTTTTTTAACTTTTAATTTTTACACAATTTCAAACTTACAGAAAAATTTAAGATTAGTACAAAGACTTTCCATATACTCTTTACCCAGATCCCCTAATTGTTTATCTATGTATCTTCTATCTATATACCTATCTAGCTACCTACCCATTCATCCACCTACTCATCCATCCATCCATCCATCCATCAACCCACCCACCGGTTTTTTTTTGTTTGTTTGTTTGTTTGTGAGGAAGATCAGCCCTGAGCTAACATCCATGCCAATCTTCCTCTTTTTTGCTGAGGAAAACTGGCCCTGAGCTAACATCTGTGCCCACCTGCCTCCATTTTATGTGGGACGCTGCCACAGCATGGCCTAACAAGCGGTGCATCGGTGCACACCCGGGACCTGAACCTGGGCCGCCAGCAGCAGAGCACACACACTTAACCACTATGCCACAGGGCCGGCTCCCTACCTACCCATCCATCCATGCATCTATCTATCTTCCACTTGAGAGTAAGTTGGAGACATCTTACCCCATTATTCTTAAATACTTCAGTGTGTATTTCCAAAGAACAAGGACATTCTCTTATATAACCAAGTAGTTATCAAAATCAGCACACTGATCTTTTAAAATAGTAAATCAGATCTGACCATTCCCTTGATTAAAACTTTCATTAAAACATGAAAACATGAGAAACATGAGAAGTCATTAAAACATGACTTCTCATGACACAATAAAGAGCTCCTTCCTGTGGCCAAGAAGGCATACCTCCTCAGGCTCTTCTAGACCCCCATCTATCTTGCGTTCCAGGATCTGCCACGGTGGGTCTCTTAAATTGGCCAAGCTGGTTCCTACCTCAAGGTCTTTGCACTTCATGCTTCTCTTTCCCCTACTAAATCTTTACATGGGTGGCTGCTTATTGTCATTCACCTTAGGGGGTCTTCCCTGACCACCGAATCTAAAGCAGGCCCCTCACCCACCTCCCATAGCCCTTGACTCCCCATCACGTCACCTTGTTTTACATTCTTCAGAGCACTCACCACCATATCCTGCCTGTTTATCTCAGGCTTCCTTCTTAATTGCCTGTCTTCCCCCTAGGCTAGATGGACTTTCTGTCTTCCCCCTAGGCTAGATGGACTTTCTCTGTTTTGTTCACTGCTGGATCCCCAGTGCCAGGAATAATGTCTGGCACACAGTAGGTCTTCAATCAGTTGGCTGAATGAACAGAAGAACAAATACGTAACATAACAAGGAATTCCAGGCAGGCCTGGCTCTGCGGTAGGAGCCTCCCCAGGCAGCAAAGCCCCACCTCTTGTAGCTCTGCAGCTCCTCCTGCACCACCAGCAACTGGGACTTGAGTTTGTTGCGCTCCTGTAGCACATCCCTCAGCTCCTGTAGAGTGAAGCGTGGTCTGTTGGGATCTGTCAGGTCAACTACCATCTTGTCTGGTCCCAGGCTTACCTGTAAGACAAGATGTCACTTATAGAGTGTCCCTCATGAAGATGGACAGTCCACCCCAGAAACCAAAGTTCTCTCGTTTCGTTACTCCCAGGGAGTCTACGAGATGAGACGTTGCCTGTTGGAAGCACTTCGTTGGTGGTAAAGAAGCAAAAGTTCTAAGTTCCATTCTCCAAGAAAAGAACCAGGGCTCCTTAGAGAATGGCTGATTCCAGGGCTGGAACAGGGAAAGTACAAGATGAGCATTCCGTGGTGTAAGGGATGGAGACATATCAAAATGACACAGTTTGAAGGAGCTCCTACTGGCCAAACTGAGAACAACTGGAATATCAAAATGAATAATAATAGCATGGAGACAACACATCAAATAAAAAAAGAATTCAGAAGTCCATACTTAAAAATTAAAAAATTAAAATTAATTAACTAATTAATGGGGATGTGATGGTTAATTTTATGTGTCAACTTTACTGGGTTAAGGGATGTTCAGATAGCTAGTTAAACACTATTTCTGAGAATGTCTGAGAGGGTGTTTCCAGAAGAGATTAACATTTGAATTGGTGAACTGAGTAAAGTAGATGGCCCTCCCCAATGTGGGTGGTTATCAGCCAATCAGTTGAGAGTCAGAATAGAACAAAAAGGCAGAGGAAGAGTGAATTCCTGCTCTCTGCTTGAGCTGAGACATTCGCCTTCTCCTGCCCTCAAACACTGAGGCTCCTGGTTCTTGGGCTTTCAGACCCAGAACGGGATTTACACCATCAGCCCCCTGATTCTCAGGCCTTCTGACTCAGACTAAATTATCCCACTGGCTTTGCTGGTTCGCCAGCCTGCAGACAGCATATTGTGGGACTTCTCTGCCTCCATAACTGTATGAGCCAATTCCTATAATAAATCTCCTCTTTTGGAACCAACTTAGTAATAATTGATTCAGGCAAGACTAATAAATGGATCTAAAACCTTTGGGTGCAAGTTTGCTGGGGAACAGGACATTTTACAAAGTTTCAAAGCATTTTCCCACAGGCTATTATTAATTACAAAGGGAATAAAAACACCTTGACAATGCAGAAATCTTGCAACCACCCCCTTAACCAAGTGATTGAACTTAACATCACCAATAATGACAAACTGAATCAGGGCCTCCTGACACGACGCACTGAGAAGGACACAGCATCACTTTAGTGTCATTCCTGCCAAACATGTAGAACTTGAATCTAATCATGAGGAAACATCAGGTCAAACCCAAATCAAAGGACATTCTACAAACCAACTGATGTATATAATCTTAAAAAATGTCAAGGTCATGAAAGACAAGGAAAAGTCAAGGAACTATTCCAGATGAAAGGTGACTAAAGAGATGTGTCAACTAATGGTACCGTATGACCCTGGACTGGATCCTGTATCAGAAAAAAAAAAAATGCTATAATGGACATTATTGTGAATTTTGAATATGGATGGTATATTAGGTCTTAGTATTCTATCAACTCTTTCCCCTGAATTTGATCATTTATTGTGGTTATGTAATAGTATGTCTTCAGAGAGACACACTGAAGTATTTAGGGTAAAAGATCCTAATCTTTTACTAATCCTGCAACTAACATAATGTATGCTCAAATAGCTGAGCAAAAATATGAGTGAATAAATAATATATTTACATAAATATTTTTGTATATACACTTAAATGTATATATGTGTGTATACACACATATGTGTGTGTAAATACGTATGTATGTGTGTATACACATATGTGTGTGTGTAAATATGTATGTATGTGTATACACATATATGGGTGTGTGTGTAAATATGTATGTATGTATATAAATACATCAGTGTGTATCTCCTAAGACATACTACATACATACACACACACATATATACACACACCTGAATACAACACCTGAATCGAGATGAAAGGTATATAGGTATTCATTGCAATTCTTCTGTAGATGTGAAAGTTCTTAAAACTAAAGTTAAAATAAAGCAAACGTTTGGAGCTGGCCCTGTGGCGTAGCGGTTAAGTGTGTGCACTCTGCTGGTGGCGGCCCGGGTTCGGATCCCGGGCCTGCACCGACGCACCGCTTGTCAGGCCATGCTGTGGTGGCGTCCCACATAAAATGGAGGAAGATGGGCACGGATGTTAGCTCAGGGCTAGTCTTCCTCAGCAAAAAAGAGGAATATTGGCATGGATATTAGCTCAGGGCTGATCTTCCTCACACACAAAAAAAAGCAAACGTTTGAAAACAACCTAAATGTCCATTAATAGAAGCCTAGTTAAATAAACTAAGGCACAACCACACTGTGGAATATTCCACAGGTGATAAAGAGAATAACGCAACTATAAAGAGAAATCCAATAGTGAGTGGCCATGTTCCTCCCACCAGACTGACAAAGACCAGCACGTTTGAAAACACACTGCATTGTAAAGGTTGTGGGGAAATGGACACTTACACTGATTGCCGAGCGAACGGATCTCCTTAACCTCTTCGGAGTACAATTTGGCAATACTCACCAAATTTCAAATGTGCCTTTCCTTTGACACAGTGAGTCCATTTTCTCTAGATACTCTCCCTCAGGGGCCAAATGGCATATGTCAGGGTTATTCATTTTTGCATGTGCAAAGAGAAAATGATTGGAAAATAAACTTCTTTTGATAGGAGACTGGTTAAAGCAGAGATTTTTTTTTTGCTGGGAAAGAGTTGCCCTGAGCTAACATCTGTTGCCAATCTTCCTTTTTTTTTTTCTCCCCTCCCCAAAGTCCCAGTACATAGCTGTACACTCTAGTTGTAAGTCCTTCTAGTTCTTGTATGGGAGCCACCACAGCATGGCTACTGACAGACGAGTGGTGTGGTTCTGCACCCAGGAACCGAACCTGGGCCACCAAAGCGGAGCACACAGAACTTTCACCACTAGGCCATCAGGGCTGGCTCTAAAGCAGAGATTCTTAACCTTTTTTTGTGCCCTGGACCCTTTTGGCAGCTTGGTAAAGCCCACGTGGACTCCTTCTCAGCACAATGTTTTTAAATGTATAAAATAAAACACACAGGATTACAAGGAAACCAACTAAGATGACATACAGTCATCAAATCTTCTGAAAATAAATTTATGATGAATATACATGATTCTTTATTGAATAACATGATCTAGCCACAGGTCTAATAAAATACTGAACAAAAACAAAGTTTTGAGATATGTACTACACTGTAATGAGAGATGAGAATATCTGTGATTTCTACGGGTGGTTGTCACAAGTATTGCTAATATTACTGTGATTTGTTGTCTACATTCAAAATTGAAGAAAGTGACTAATTTCAGTTGGAGGTTGGCAAAAAGAAAAACATAATTTTTTTCCCATGCAAATTCATGGATCCCTTGAATTAGAATCACGATCCTCTTGGCGGGTCCACAAACTCCAAGTTAAGAACCCTCAATTGAACAATTGATAATACTGTACAGTGAAAGTTTTCAAAAGCCATTAAAAGATGAGGAAGCTCGGGGCCGGCCCGGTGGCGCAAGCGGTTGGGTGCGCGCGCTCCGCTGCGGCGGCCCGGGGTTCGCTGGTTTGGATCCCGGGCGCGCACCGACGCACTGCTTGGCAAGCCATGCTGTGGCGGCGTCCCATATAAAGTGGAGGAAGATGGGCACAGATGTTAGCCCAGCGCCGTCTTCCTCAGCAAAAAAAGAGGAGGATTGGCGGATGTTAGCACAGGGCTGATCTCCTCACACACACAAAAAAAAAGATGAGGAAGCTCGTTAATTCTGATTTAGTAGAACTTTCATGCTACGTTAAGTGAAAACAAGCAAGAGGGAGAACAGGGTGTATATTACAATACCATTTGTGTAAAAAGAGGAAAAATATATTCACATCTGCTTATGTTTGCATAAAGCATCTCTGGAAGGATACACAAGAAACTGATCATTTAAATTTTTTCCAGGGAGGGGAAGTGAGTGGCTGGGGGTGGAGAGAGATGGGGAGGGAAATTTTTCAAGACAAACACTTGTGTACCTTTTGAATTCTGAACTTAAATTTTTAAAAAAGAAAGAAGAAAACCACCTCATACCTATTAAGATGGCTACTGTAAACAAACAAACAAAACAGAAAATAACAAGCGCTGGCGAGGGCGTGGAGAAATTGGTCTTGTGCACCCCTGCTGGGGATGTAAAATGACGCAGTCACTATGGGAAACTGTATGGCAGTTCCTTCAAAGATTAAAAATAGGATTATCATGTGATCCAGCAATTCCACTTCTGGGTATCTACCCAAAAACACTGACAGCAGGGACTTGAAGAGATCTCTGTACATTCCTGTTCATACAGCATTATTCACACTAGCCAAGGGATGAAGCAAACCAAGTGTCCACTGACAGACGAATGGATAAACGAAATGTGGTCTATCCATGAAACGGAATATTATTCAGCCTTTAAGAGTAAAGAAATTCTAACATATGCCACAACATGGATGAACCCTGAGGACATATGTTAAGTGAAATAAGCCAATGACAAAAGGACAAATATTATACGATTCTACTTATAAGAAGATAAGAACAGGCAAATTCATAGAGATAGAAAGCAGAACAGGAGTTAGCAGAGGCTTGGGGAGGAGGGAATGGGGAGTTAATGTTTAATGGCTACAGAGTTTCAGTTTTGCAAAATGAAGAGTTCTGGAGAGGATGGTGGTGATGGTTGCACAACAACGTAAATGTACTCAATGCCACTGAACTGTACACTTGAAAATGGTTAAAAGGGTAAATTTTATGTGTGCTTTACCACAACTAAAAATAAAAAAAACAAAAAAGAAAGAATAAGGCATATTTTTATGAACTGTCTAGTGGCACTAAACATTCTCTGTGCCTTTTTCCCCACCCCCGTTCTTAAGCCTGTGGTTTGGGAGGAAAATGTGCCATCTCATCTGCTGGCTGATGAAGCTTGTCCACTGTGCCCCATACGGGAAATGACCAGGTCCCTGAGCAGACCACACTGTTCATGGTCCATAGTGGGGCTTCCTCCATTTCCTCGTGCCTGGAGTTGGAGGTGACAGGAAAAGAGCACAAAATGTGAGCTGAGTGATCTTGGGCAAGTCATTTAACTGCTCATGAATCTCAAAAGCCAGGCTACTAATCGTGATACTTGACCATCTTATATGATGGATATTGAAGTAGAACCTTCTCTACAAATATAATTGTCACTGTGACTAATGAGTAGGTGAAATGAAAGTGTACCAGGGAAGCTACCAGAAACCTTCATTCTTCCCTGTGAATTTCAGCAACCTCGTTCCTGTTGTCCTTCCGTGGCACACTCCTCAGCTGTAATCTTGTACTCTAGTTCTGGAGGTCTGTGTGTCTTACCTCTCCCACTGGATGTCAGCTCCGTGGGGGCAGGGACCTTGTCTAATTCACCTCCATAGCCCCAGAGCCCGGCACAGCGCAGTCACTCATCAAATGTTAGTACCAAAAAAAAAGTCAAAATATACAAAAAATACTGTATTTTAGTACCGTGTTTTAAGACTAGCATCTCTGAGCTCAAAATCCTGCCTCCACCTCTTATGTGCTATAAGTTCTTAGGCAAATTACTTAACTATTCTATGCCTTCATTTCTGTAAAATGGGTATAATAATAGTGTCAGGATTAAATGAGATAGTCCACTTAGGGCAGCTTTTTTTTTTTTTAACCGTGGCTGGAGACCCACTAATGAGTTATGATATTAATTTAGTGAGTTGCAACAAAAATTTTAAAATTAATAAAAATAGAATAGGGAAGTATGACTGTGCATCCTGTTTAGTAAGGGTGAGATAAGGTAAACTGTTTCTTGAAATATAATTTTGTAAAATGGAAGTATAACACACATACAGTAAAATGCACTAATCTTGAGTTTATAGCTTGATGATTTTTACCATATGTATACACCCAAGTAACCACACTTGGATTAGCTCCCTATAAATTTCCCTCCTGCTCCCCACCACCCTCCTCTCCCCAGGGCTACCATCAACCTGTGTTCTATAGGTAAAGATTATTCTGCCTGTTCTCGAATTTCACATACAGAAGGCTCTTTTGCGCCTGGCTTCTGTCTCGTAATGTTACATCTGTGAGATTCATCAATACAGCTGTGTGTACCAGCACTCTGTTCTTTTTCATTGTTGTGTAGTATTCCATTGTGTGAATCTACCACAATTTAAAAAATCCATTCCTCTGCTGCATTTGGGTTATTTCCAGTTTGGCACAATTACGAATAAAGCTGCTCTGAATATTCTTGTACATGTCTTTTTGTGGTCATAAGCACTAATTTCTCTTTAGATAAAATGTATTTCTCACTCGAGGTCAAAGATTCTCAAAGTGTGATGCCGGGACCAGCAGCAGCAGCAGCCAGGAACTTGTTAGAAATGCAGATTCTCAGGTCCCACTCCAGACCTACTGAGTCAGACACTCTGAGGCTGGGGCCCAGCAATCTGTGTTTTAAGGAACACTCCGGGTGACTGTGATGCATGCTAAAGCTTGAGAGCTTGCTCTAGGTCCGGGTCAAAAATGCTGGAAGCCACTGATTTAGAACATACTCAGCAGGGGGCCAGCACCTAGTCCGTGCTCAATAAATGGTAACTACCCTAGAGCTTCTACTCTGAGGACTGGATACTCGCGGCGTGGGAGGACTTGTTTTGAGGGGTCTAGATGTTGAAGAGAGGAAAGGGGGCCTCTCTGCCAGTGGGCGCTGTCCCACGACTTCAGGGCTGCGCGGGCAAGGCCCCCTCCCTCGCGCACTCACCTCGGGGCTGGCCGCCGAGGCCCCTCTCCGCAGCCCCTCCACCTCCTTCCTGAGGTTGTCCCTCTCCATTCTCAGCTCCTCCGCCGTCAGGCTGCCCTCATTCACCAGCGTCTCCAGCATCTCCAGCACGCGGACGATCTTGAACTGCAGCTGTGTCACGCGGGGGTCGCTGCCCAGGGCCATCAGCTCGCGGCCCATCACGTAGGAGATGTCATACACGTCCTCGGCGGTCAGCTGGAAGGGGCTCTTGCCCAGAGCCCCCTCGGGCCCAGCCTCGTCCCCCTCCTCCTCTTCTTCCTCCTCCTCTTCCTCCTCTCGCAAGGGGGGCTCCTCCATGGCCGCCCAGAGTCCTGCAGCCTCCGGGGCCGCTGGCTCAGAGTCTCCAAGCGCCGACCTCCTCCCGGCCGGGAAAACTTTCCGCTGGGCAGAGGACCCTGCCGGCCCAGGCCCCGGGGCTGGCCGCGAGCGGCCAATCAGCACAGCCCAGGCGTGGGCCCGGGCGGGGGGCGCGGGGGAGAAGGAGGCCGCGCGGGGCCCCCGCCGAGGAGCGTGCAGGAGAGCGGCCTCCAGGATGTGGTTTGGAGCACGAAAGGGCGACAGCGAGAAGAGGCACGGGGAGGTTGAGCGCTGACGGCGGCTGCTCCCTGTCTGGGCGCCGCTGCCGGCCGGGGGCGGGGCGGGGCCCCGAGCTCCGCCCCGGTGACGCCGCGGCCCAGGCCGGTTTCCAGGGAGGCCCGGGCGGAGTTTCCACGGCGAGGCAGGGAGAGCGGGTGAGCAGCGCACAGCTCGTCCTTTCCACACGCAAGCTTTCCAGCCGTAGAATTTGCATTGTACGTGGAGGGAGATCCGGGTCTCAGGCTGAGGGTATTTTCTGAAGCCTGCGGCAACAGAAAGAGCTGTTGGCGGCAGCGCGCCGAGCCCAGAGGCCTGGGTGGCGCGCAGCTCCCAGGCCAGTTGTCGCCAGGACCTGCGGCGTCTGACCCTCAATAAGATGGAGAGTCCCTGCTCTATGCACTTTGCTGGTTCCTGGGCTCCTCCACTTAACCACCGTTGTGGCCTTGGCAAGTGACCACTCCTCCGAGCCTCAGTTTACTCCTCTGTAAATAACAGCTCCTAGGTGGTAGGGCTGCTGGGGGAATATAGGAGATGAGACCACAAGATAATGTGGCCACAGAAAGCATTAGGCAGCACTCAAAAGGTGTTAGCTGGTTTCTTCATGCTGTCCTCCAATAAACATTAAGCTTGTGTGCGAGACACTTCGCACGTGGGTCGGCGTGGGAGGAGTAATAAGACAAAAATCACTGTCTGCTTTGAAAATTAGAAAGCGTTCTACAGATATACAGGGGATTACTGAGAATACTAGCAGAGTGCATGACAAAACGAGCTATTTTAGATTTGATTAGAGGTTTGTAATAGTCACAGGAAGAAAACTCAGCAAGGAGCTTGTCTTTCCCAGGCATATATTGGCAGCGTTCTTTGTGGTAGATGTACCCGATTTTCTCTACTCTGAGGTTCTAGAATCACAATGCAGAGTGGACACGGATAAAATAAATAAAAACCGAAACAAACAAAATACAAGTGTACAATGTTCCAACGATCAAAGTGAGGTCCCCATTGGAGGGCTCAGTAATCCATAAATCACAGATGTGACAACACAGTGATTAACTACTGAGATAAAATATTACACTTACCATAAATAAAATATGGTATATCCATACAATGGAATATTATTCAGCCATAAAAAGGAATGAAGGAATAGAATAGAAAGCCCAGAAATAAACCCTTGCAAATATGGTCAAGTGATTTTCAACAAGGGAGCCAAGACCATTCATTGGGGAAAGGACTGTCTTTTCAACAAATGGTGCTGGGAAAAGTGGACACCCACATGCAAAAGTATGAAGTTGGACCCTTACCATATACCATATAAAAAAATGAACTCCAAATGGATCAAAGATCTAAACATATAAAACTCTTAGAAGAAAACATAGGGGAAAAGCTTTATGTGGATTTGGCAATGATTTTGGCAAAAGCACAGGCAACAAAGGAAAAATTAGATAACCTGGACTACATCAACATTTAAAACTTGTGCATCAAAGGCCACGATTAACAGAGTGAAAAGGCAACCTACTGAATGAGAGAAAATAATTTGCAAATCACATCTGTTGAGGAGTTAATATCCAGAATATATAAAGAACTCCTATAATGCAATAACAACAAAACAATAACCCAATTAAAAAATGAGCAAAGTAAAAACAGACGCAAAATCCTTAGCAAGATATTAGCAAACAGAAGTTAGCACTATATAAAGTACTATATACCATGACCAAGGGGGGTTTATTCCATGCATGCAAGGCTGGTTCAAAAAAAATCAGTCTATGTAATCTACCATATTACAAGCTCTAGAATCCACAAAAAACTATTAAAACTAATAAACAAGCTCAAAGTTGCAAGATATAAGATCAATATACAAAAATCAATTGCATTTCTAAACACTTGCAAGGAATAACCTGAAAATGAAATTATGAAAACAATTCCACTTAGAATGGCATCAAAAAGAATAAAATATTTAGAAATAAATTTGACAAAAGAAGTGCAAGACTCGTACACTGAAAACTACAAAACATCGAGAGGAATTAAAGACCTAAATAAATGGAAAGACATCCCATGTTCATTAATTGTAATACTTAATAGTGTTAAGATGGCAGTACTTTCCATCTTACATCTCCAATTGATCTACACAATCAGCACAATCCCTACCAAAATCGGTGCAGAAAAGAATTAAAAAAGCAGGCTCAAGACTGCTATCATTTGAAAATCCTGCTTGCAAGGTTGGCGCTTGGCTAGGATCTGGGAACCTGGATTTGACGAGGGTTCCCACCACCCCAACCAGTAAGAGTAGCTCACTGTGCCCTTCCTGTTTGCACAAACAACATGGTTTATGGTGAACACCAGCTTTCCTCCTGGGAGTCTGGAATTTTGGTATTCCTAGGCAGAGGGTGCCTGCAGGACCAGAGCCAAGTAAAAACCTTTGACACAGAGTTTCTAATGAGTTTCCTTTGTAGACAATATTTCACACATGTTCTCACAGCTCGTTAATGGGAAGTTATGCTAAGTCAAAGAAGCTAGTCACAAAAGACCTCGTATTGTATGATTCCATTTATGTAAAATGTCCAGAATAGGCAAATTCATAGAGACAGAAAGTAGATTAGTGGTTGCCTAAGACTGGAGAGGTATAGGGCTGGGGGGGCTGGGGTGTGATAGCCAAAGGTTATGAGGTTTCTCTTTGGGGTGATGAAAATGTTCTAAACTTGATTTGATAACTCTGTGAATATAATAAAAATCATTGAATTGTACACTTTAAATCAGTGAATTATATTTCAATTAAGCTGTTATGAAAAATAAAGAATAATGGGCAAAGGACTTGGATAAATATTTCTCCAAAAAGATATACAAGTGGCCAAAAAGCACAGGCAAAGATGCTCAATATCACTAATTATTAGGGAAATACAAATTAAAATCACAATCAGGTATCTCTTCACACTCATCAGGATGGCCACTATTAAAAAAAGGCACAGAAAATCACAAGTGTGGGAGAGGATGTGAAGTCGGAAGTCTTGTGCACTGCTGGCGGGAAGGTGCGATGGTGTAGCCACCACCGAAACAGAATGGCGGTTCCTCAAAAACTTAACAACAGAATTATCATATGATCCAGCAATACCACTTCTGGGTATATGTCCAAAAGAATTGAAAGCAGGGTCTCAAAGAGGTATTTTCACACCCATGTGCATAGCAGCATTATTCACAATAGCCAAAAGGTGGAAAGTAACCCAAAGGTCCATCCACGGATGAATGGATAAACAAAATGTGGTCTATCCGTACAATGGAATATGATTCAGCCTTAAAAAGGAAAAAGAAATTCTGACACATGCTACAACGTGGATGAACCTTGAGAACATTATGCTCAGTGAAATAAGCTAGTCACAAAGAGATAAATACTATATGATTTCCCTTACACGGGGTATCTAGAGTATAAACTTTATTATTTTTTTTTGTGTGAGGAAGATCAGCCCTGAGCTAACATCCATGCCAATCCTCTTCTTTTTGCTGAAGAAGACCCGCCCTGAGCTAACATCTATTGCCAGTCCTCCTCCTTTTTCTCCCCAAAGCCCCAGTAGATAGGTGTATGCCATAGTTGCACATCCTTCTAGTTACTGTATGTGGGACGCCACCTGAGCATGGCCGGCCGAGCAGTGCCCGGGATCCGGACCCGGGCCGCCAGTAGCAGAGCGCATGCACTTAACCGCTAAGCCACAGGGCCGGCCCCTAGAATATAAACTTTAGAAACAGAAAGTAGAATGGTGGTTGCCAGGGTCTAGGGGGACTTGAGGAATGGGGAGTTGTTGCTTAATGGATATAGAGTTTCAGTTTTGCAAGATGAAAAAGTTCTGGAGATTGGTTGCACAGCAATGTGAATGCACCTAACCCTACTGAACTGTACACTTAAAAATGGTTAAGATGGTAAATTTTATCTTATGTGTACTTTACCAAAATTTTTAAAAAGTGCATGAGGAAACTCTGTGGGGTGATCTTGACTTGGTGGAGGTCACATGAGTATATACGTACAAGGTAAAAAGTTGTGGAGCTGTACACAATATTTGTGCATTTCCTTTAGGTAAATTAGACCTCAATAAAGTGCTGGGGGGAGGGAAGGAGTGAAGCAGTGATCCACACTACAATGTGGATGAACCTTGACAACATTTTGCTAAGTCAAAGAAGCCAGTCACAAAGGGTCACGTATTGTGATTCCATTTATGTGAAATGTGCAGAATAGCAAATCCGTAGAGACAGGAAGATTAGTCGTTGTCTAGAGCTGGGAGAGGGGGATGGGCAGTGACCGCTAATGCAGACAGTTTCTTTTTGGGGTAATGAAAATGTTCTCAAATTAGATTGGGGAGATGGTTGCACAACTCTGTGAATTTACTAAAAACCAATGAACTGTACAGTACAAATGGGTGAATTTTATGACGTGAATTATGTCTCAATGCTGGTAAGTGGAAGTAGCCTTCTAAGAGCAATGTTATCAGAAAGAATTTAATGTTGCTGCATTTCCTTTTCTTTACCTTCAGGATCCCCAGCCACCACTGCTGGCATGAATCTCTTCTGCACCAGTGTCCTCCTCAAAAGTTCCTTCTGCCTTGAAATTTCCCTAGAAATTCACCCTCGAAGGCGCCATATCTTCCTTCCTCTGTGCTGTATATCCTTTTGTTACATAATGAAACCTAGTAAATCGTGCCTTAAAAATGTCAAAATGTCTTCCATTGAGAAGCTATGCTTTTGATATAAAATAATGAAGATTCTTTTGTTGATTCATTTAACAGTTTATTTACTGAGCATTTACTATATGCAAAGTCTGAAGTGTCATAGTCAACAGGGCTGTGGAGTTAAGCAGTCTTGACTTGAGCCTCACAATCACTACTTGCTGGTACATAAGTTTG